CATCGCTGTCGATGGATCTGTTGCAAAACAGGGACGATAAGTGGTCTTCTGGGCCGGATTTCAGCCTCGCGAAGATGGTTCCTGACAGTCTGGTCCGATATCCTCCTCAAACCAGGGATGCGACCTGCAGTCTCCGTGGCTGTGGCATTGTGTAACGTAGGTGGAACAGTCGAATCTAGAGATCCTGTGAAGGGGTGGTAGCTCTTGGTCGGCCGGTTCTGCAGTGGGATTGAACTGTGTGTATGCCGTTTAAGATATTGCAAATCGACAATGGTTGCGTTTTGACGCACCGTTTGTCGAATATCAGGCCACCAAGATTTACCAATAACATATATCCAATTTATATACCGGATGCTTTGTGTAGTCAGGTTCAATGAACTACATACTACCTGTGCGTTTCTTTTTTTTAAGAGTGTATTAAACTTCATCTTCCCGAGGCAAGGGAGTTAACGGACTATAAAAGTCCAGTTTCCACTGGACTTATCTCCCTTGCCTCAGAAGATGATATAACTTCGAAATCTTTGTGAAATGAAACCGTCGATGTTATTATGAAATCTGGACGATAGGAAACCTTGTTTGTTTCTCTGGGGCATGTTGGTGACTTAAATTTGGTTTAATGGCGTATTTCAGTCATTTAAATCTTTGAATATGAAATGCCTTTGATTATCTTTCGTACTCCAAAACTGTGCAAGAACTGGTATAGTTAATCTTGCAATACCGAAATATTCTTGATGTCTGTGAAACCGTCTTAGCGACTATGTAACGTTCATGGTTGTATTTGTTTACTTTCATTGTCGGTAGCTTTCTTTGACAATCGTCTTTTTGGTGATAGAAATGAATTGTCTATTGGTCGTGGGAAGTGTCTGTGTGAATTATCCCGGTCACTTCAAAGTCAGGATTCAGGTAGGTGTTTTACATTTGTATGGTGGCCGAGATGGGACAGCGCTTTCTCGCTTTCGGTCGCGAGAAAGCGATAACACGAGACGAGAAAGCGATAGCGCGAGAAGAGAAAACGATAACGCGAGATGAGAAAGCGATAACAAAAGACGAGAAAGAGACGATACGAGACGAGAACGCGATAACATGAGACGAGAAAGCGACGGCACGATACGATAAAGCGATGTGAATATCGCTTTCTCGTCTTGTGGTATCGCTTTCTCGTGGCCATAATTGAAGGCAAAAAAAGTGATGTCCCCTCTCGGCCACCATACATTCGAGAGATATCCGAGTTTCAGTTATGGAAAAGTGTTGAATGTAAACTGACATGTTCTGAAGTTGCTAGTATCATATACTTCCGGAACTGAAGCTTCGACTTGGACCAAGTTAGTTTGTATGAAAGCTCACGACATTTCAAAAAGGTATGCTACTTTGATCCGTGGTCTGACGTCGACGTTTGATATATTAAATTTCAGAAACTCCTTTGACAATCAGTGTCTCACTATCCAGTTAAAGGGACCAAATCAAAATGTTGTTACAGGTTGAAAATCAAGCAGAGAAATAATGGCTTACGTTATAGAACGCATTGAGCACTGGCAATTTCTATTTTTGAAAATGGTTGCCATGGAAACAAAAAAGGACTTGAAATGATAAATAAATCATTCTAAAGCAAAATATAATCTCATTTGCAGTGTTATTTCACAAGAAAATCGATTAGATTTGAAAAAGGTTTTATTTGGTGTCGTATTGATATAATCAACGAATAGCCAAGAGTAGGTGTTGGTGACATTACTGATTCACATTATATATCTTTGTGCTCATAACATAGAGAATACTACACTCGTTCTCGTAAGACTCCATAGAATGTTCACGAGTGGTCGTGGTAGTGGCAGTAGCAGCATTGGTAGTAGTAGTAGTAGTGGTAGTAGTAGTAGTAGTAGTAGTGGTAGCGGTAGTAGAAGCAGTAGTAGTAGTAGCATTGGAAGTAGTAATATTTGTAGCAATAGTAGTAGTAAGTAGTAGTAGTAGTAGTGGTGGTGGTGGTAGTAGTAGAAGTTGTAATAGTGGTAGAGGTAGTAGAAGCATTGGTAGTAGTATTATTTGTAGTAGTAGTAGTAGCATTGGAAGTAGTTTATGTATTTGTTGTTTAACGCTGCACTCAGCAATATTCCAGCTATATGACGACTATATAGTAGTAGTAGTAGTAGTAGTAGTAGTGGTAGTAGTAGTAGTAGTAGTAGTAGTAGTAGTAGTAGCAGCAGCAGCAGTAGTAGTAGTAGTAGTAGTAGTAGTAGTAGTAGTAGTAGTAGTGTATATAGAAGTAGTCCTTGTGGTTTGCATTTTTATTGCAACTCGTGGTAGATCAAAACCAGATAAATGATCAAATTAGACAGGTCCAGCTGGCTGTATTATCAAATCAGCATTAAAAGAAGAAACTATAATTAGAAGAGAAATGCATTTTGTAATAACATTTAATGAAGTAAATAATAGTTTATAGTGGTTGCGGTTGTTCTTATAATTACTATGTGTTGTTATCATGTCATTTGGTCTTTTCCATAATGTATTGTTTTGGGGTCAGCAAATGTGTACATTCAAATAGTTTAGAACAAACGTATCAAGTACAGCCTTCTTGCCCATCCTTACGGGGCTTCTCGCGGATTTATTATATACTACAGTGTGAAAGAATGAGTTTTCTGAAGTTGAGAAAAGTGATATTATCATTGCAGTGAACTTAACAATTGATATTTCACTGCAGTGAACATAACCCTTTGACGGAACTATTGTCATACAGGAGCTACCTCCCCTTAAGTTATCTCCCTTTGTCGTAGGCGTCTCAAGCTCCTTCCCAGCGCTTGACATATATATATAAGACAGCTCCGTCAACGGGATGTCACTATGAGGAGCTTGTAAATGTCTAGCCCGTACACAAACTGTCATATTTACATTAGTTCCACATTGACGAGGCAAAATAATGACAGGTGATCATTTATGGAGTCCATATCACTTCTTGCCGTTTGTTATTCTCTCGAAAATATTTCGTTATAAACTAAATTTCCCATGTAACTCGTCAATCGAGACTGTTCGTTTCATTCGTGACCAACTCGTGTTCTTGCAGTTTACGGAAAGGGGCGAGTGGTGACGAATGTGTTCGCAAAGCGCCATTTTTGTTACTTGACCAGCGTGTATTCTTCCGCTTCCAACAGCAGTCTCCTAGTTTTCACAAATAATTTTGGTTATTGTTAATTTTGTATATACTCATATCAAAATGTATGACACATATTTTGTGATACTTTTGTTTATATTGTTTAAGATTTTGCAAACACGAACTACTTTCTAAGTAAGAAAGGGTGGTGAACCGTCCCTGTGTGTTAGGTAGGGAGAACTTACGTTTCAAGGTTTTACGTTTGTAATTAAATAATTTAATTTTCCGTGAGACACCTACATAAAAAGCATCGTAGCCACGAGTGAAAATATCTCCTTTTCCCCCGACACGAGACCATCTTCCCGCGGCAAGAGAGTTAAAGTCCAGTTTCCACCCTTGCCGAACTAGGCTGGTATTATGGAGTAATATTTTGGCTGGACTAACGAGTCTATGCATAGTCCAATCAAAATCGCGCACCGAAATCCAAATCCGGTTCGAAAACTGTCGTGCAGATTTCGGTCGATTGCAGGATTTGCAAAACATGTGCACCGCCAACTCGTTGTCAGCAGATATTTTCCAAATCTTTTCATTTTTTTAATCAAGGTGCTCACGTGATTTGATGCATTTCGCGATGTAAGACCCGTTTTATCATAATATAGATCTTGATTATCGATCAGATCGTCCTGACTCGGCGCCACCATTTTGTGTGAAGCAAACGCAAGTGATACGAGAGGTGGAATCTGATTGGTCCATAGGAGAGGCTTAGAAGGGACATAGTTGGTAATAGCCACTGGTGGCGCTACGATCAAGCCCAGTAATTCCTGCCTAGCTCGGCAAGGGTGGAAACTGGACTTTTAATGGCAGTTGACTCTCTTGCCTTGGGAAGATGACACGAGATGAGAGAAACATGATATTTCACTCGACACATGAAATATTCTCTTTTTGGGAGATAACTGTTTGATTGAACTCACTTTCATGTCGTCTAAGGCGCCGCGATTCGCTGTGCAGTGTTGCGTCCCTTGGGCACGCCAGAAACCTATGATTGTGGGTTCTAATCCCGGTTCGCCCCGAATATGTTTCTAGGTTTGTCAGCACCATACCCGTGATCGTGGGTTTCACCGAAGTGGTAAACGTCTTAGACCTGCATCACTTCGGGCTTTCCTCCCACATTAAGCTGACACGCCGTGATATAACTTGAATAATGTTAAAAGCGGCGTTAAACCCAACTCACTCACTCACTCACTATTGTACGAAGTCAGTAACTGTATGTCCTAACACAGATATTTTACGATCTTTAGTTTGCGATGAATATATTTTCAGCCGACCATTTTGTTTGGGTGTTTTTTGTTAGTGACCGATGTTATCGAAAGCGTTATAGGTTTAAAAATGATATTTTTTGGAATATATTGCATATCAAACAGATCTAAGAGACAAATATACTTTATAGTGTCTAACCTGTAAATGTCTAAGTTTGTATATTTTATTATCTTCTGTCTAACGCTAGATCAAAGCTAAACGCCAGTCTTGAGAAAGACAGTTCGCTCCAGTTGTAATGGTATGTATAAAATAAATAATGAATAGTTAATGTAATACACTACATTCGTCAGCTATAAGATTTCATTTAAGCATACACGAAGCGCGCTTATTACATTTTCGTAAATTAATTTGAGATAAATGCAAGTATGGACAGAAAATAATCACAAGCTCCGAACATGGTATGCAAAACCTGTATGGAGTTTTACACAGCGGTACATGTCGCGAATAATGAAATGTGATTATCTTCTTTCACATAAGTAGTTTATATTTACATAGATACACATGTCATAAACGTCACATATAATGTACTTTACATGCCATTAGTGCAATCTAGATGGTTTCATAAATATTTTGAATGGTTTGTTGACCATTACGACATGCCGTACTCGAGCACGCCCTGTGAATGCGATCGTGGCAAAATTCGATTTGTTGTGTTTTATCAGCCAAAAATGTTCACAAAAACAAGCAGGGATTGTGACACGTAATGATGAAAATTTCAGGTCCAAGCGCAATAATGACTCGATAGATAGCCTGAAAGCATGGCGCACCGACTGGACGAACAAGCATGCAGGCAGGCACTTGGGCCCAGTCATCTGTGAAATCTCAACGTATCACTGCGAAACGGATCCCGTCCTTCTCTTCAGTTTCTAGTGTATGGTAGAATGCATTCGTTGAATTAATGCATCACTTTTAACGTTACCCGAAAATGTATGAACAAATTTCTTCTCGTGATAGTTGTATTGTGTGTTTTTGAAAATTAGACAAGTGTAGATTACTGATGAGACAAACTTGTTGGTCGTTATCGTTGATCGGATTAGACCAGCTTGCAATCTGAGACTGATGTTAATCACTGTTTCCTATTGCATGGTGAGAATGATATCTCTGTTACAATATCGAACGATAATATATACGCCCATGAAAATAGCAGAAAGTGTGAGAAAGTTGAATAATCAAATATCCGTCTTAGCTTACAGGGCATGTAAAGCAACATATAGATGTCTGTTTGATTGGCATTGTAGTTGGTAAGTAAGGAAATGTACAGCTTTATGAATAAGGGGGCACGGGGGGCCCAGATGTCTAAGGCGCCGCGATTCGCTGTGCAGAGTTGCATCCCTTTGGCACGCCAGAAACGTATGATTTTTGGTTCGAACCCCGGTTTGCCCGATTATGTTTCTAGGTTTGTCAGCACCATACCCGTGCTTGTGGGTTTCACCGAAGTGGTAAACGTCTGAGACCTGCATCACTTCGGGCTTTCGTCCCACATTAAGCTGGCACGCCATGATATAACTGGAATAACTGTTAAAAGCGGTGTTTAACCTCACTCACTCACTCACTTTATGGTGAACAACTTCTGGTTTATTGCATAAAGCGACGTCTGATGTAGATTCTTACACCGTTATCAAGCTGGAGTGACAACAACCAAGTGGTGACAGGTTCATAAGCATGATATGTTGTGATTAGCAGCAGATTAACATTGACAACAACAGGTAATAGATAACAAGGAGCATACAGATAATACAAGGCACCACATTCACAGTTAATCTTATAGGAGTAGTCTATAAGATTACTTGTGACTGTGGTGACTCTTACATTGGTGAAACATCCTGCCCGGTAGATATCCACATCAAATAACATAACACGTCAACGGCCAAAGCAGAGAGCAAATCAGCCCTCAGATTACCAGCAAAAAATCCCTAGCCCTCGAAGTCAGTTTGACAAAGCCCAAATCCTCAGAAACAAACATCAGGATTTAACCAAAAGAAAACTCTCAGAAGCTACAGAAATCCGCCGTCACAAACCTTTGATCAAAAGAGATCAAGGGTATTACATCTCCTCTGCCTATGAAAATCCAGTAAATCGATAGACTGTTTTAATGAGTATCCAATCAGCTTGTCACACCTGTTTAATCCTTACAGAACATCTGGTTTCATTACCCGTGTGCTTCATTACCTGTGTGGTATTCTTACTGTACATCTGGCTTCATTACCCGTGTGCTTCATTACCTGTGTGGTATTCTTACTGTACATCTGGCTTCATTACCCGTGTGCTTCATTACCTGTGTGGTATTCTTACTGTACATCTGGCTTCATTACCCGTGTGCTTCATTACCTGTGTGTTATTCTTACTGTACATTTGGCTTCGTCCACTTGTCTGTAAGCATGATACGCTACTTGTTATCTATTACCTGTTGTTGTCAATGTCAGTCTGCCACTTATCACAATATGTCATGCATATATACATCTTATCACTTGGTTGTCATTCCAGCTTGATAACGGTGTGAGAATCTTTATCGAAACATCTCTATGTGCAATTAACCAGGAGTTGTTATCCATAAAGTTGTATGTTTTCTTACAAAATAAAGAGCACAACCACTGTGATCCTTTGATATATCTGTGACAGTTAGGGCTGCAATGGTTCACCAATACTTCGGTTCGGTTCGATGCTCGATTATTTCCATTCGATTCGATTATTTTCGATTCGATTCATAAGTCTGATAATGTACAATAGTCTTCGCGTTGACATCGAGTCCATGCTTTCTTTTCAAATGGTTTGAAAGATTAGTCGTGTTTCCGGCCTTGTACGTAATGTCCATGTAACAAACTTTACAAGTTGCAGCATCTTTCGACTGTTGCCTAAACCCAAAATGAGCCCAAACCTTAGATTTTAGATGACTTGGGGCTGGTGACAGCACGTCGTCTGCCATGCTTTCAAAGGGAGGTCACTCTAATCTATTTTCGTTTTCAAGTGACAGTCGTCAAAAGTTTCAAACAAATGCATTTGTGGACATTTTCATTTGTCGATATGAACGCAAGTCTTTTAATTTTTTTCGTCAACGAGGTAGGTTATTTTTGTTAATTTTAAATTTATTACAAAAATTGGAATGAACCGAATCGAAATCTAGACATTGTAGATCGAAGATCGAATCGAGACGACAAGTACCGGTTCTCGGTTCACCGAACCGAACCGTTGCAGCCCTTGTGACAGTACAGGCACTGGTTGTAACCATAGCTGCTATTCCACCGCATAGCTCTGTCCGGCTTACGGGCAGAGTCTGTCACAGCCAATAAGACAGCAGGTCAATGTTGGAGATGTTTCAAGGGAATACATGCAATACAAAGGAGAGGTGAAATGGGGTTTAACGTCCCGTCCAAGATTATTGCACTTATGCGATGTGCATACACGTGTGTGTGGCTGCTTGTACTAGTCCGGACGGATGACGATTTATAGTGCTAGCCCACTGAGATATCATGTCGCAGTTTTACATGAATACCCTACTCAGTATACTGACTCCGAACCAACCAGTCCTTGTTTCAGACCCTTAATGCCAAGCGCCAGGCAGGGTAACAACAAGTACCATGTTTTAACATCTTTTGGTGTGACGTGGCTGAGGATTGAACCCTTGACGTGCCTCCCTGTGGGCGGATGCTCTGCCATATAATACTCTATTGTTTGTGGAGCAAACAGTCCCTAGTTCCTCTTATACCTGCCCTGCCTGCTAGGCACCTTGTTTCTTTGCTAGGCACCTTGTTTCTTTGCTAGGCACCTTGTTTCTTTGCTAATAGATGTATGATTTTGCAGTGGGCAAGGAACTCTCAAATGTCTGCTTAATGCACAGTACCCACCTGCTGAGTTTTATTGCAAAACAGGACCCTTTTATATATTTTTTCTTCAAATTGTATTAGAGTAAATTTTATGGCAACTCAGTTTTTGCCGAGTTGTGGGTCATGCTGATCTCTTCATTGTCATTCTGTTACCAGGGCTCCAGATATGGTCTCTAGCCATTGAGTATTTACAAATAAGTTATCATTCACATTGGATAGTGACTTTTGTTGGGTTTTCAATATATGTATACTCCTTTGGGTCCTGTCTATTGTGTGTTTACCTGAGAAGATCAGATTTGAATAGGTCTTCAGCAGCCTATGCGTGTCGTAAGAGGCGACTATGCTTGTCGTAAGAGGCGACTAATAAGATTGGGTGGTCAGACTCCCTGACTTAATTGATGCATGTCATTGTATCCCTATCGTGTACATTGATGATCATGATGTCAATCACTGGATTGTCTGGTCCAGACTCGATTATTTACAGACCAGCATCATATTGCTGGAATATTGCTGAGTGCGGCGTTAACAAACTATTTGGTGTTATTACACCAGCGTCTGGACATATTAGCAATAGAAACTAACAATATTCGTCCTCCTTATAAGTTTCTACACGTCTTTATGATACCTTAACTATTGGGCAGTTTGGCAGGGACCTATGTCTTTGCTGAAATAAATCATTATAAACTATGCATATAAAAGATAATTATTCAAGCATGTGTGTCCCACTAATTTTACGAAACGAGTGTCAGAATTTTAGTATTTCCCGAGTGACAGAGATGGAATACATAAAATCATTATGCCACACATGTGAGTGTAATATTTTCTTTTTCACCTATTATTTCTTAATCATTTTGAGCTCCCCTTTAGAAAAATGCACTGATAAAGACTGCCGTCTCAGAAAACCACAATTGTCGAATGACGTCAACAATCGTCAGCTATGGCATAGTTTCTAGTGTGACATCATTCCAACTTTATGTCACAATGAGATTCAAATGACGACAATGCCATCTGGATGACGTGAACAATACAGTTGTACACGTAAAGTGATATTTGCACTGGTACACATGCAGTTTTTATGAACTCGGTTATTTCTAACCCTGTGGGTAATAAAGCTGGAATATTGTAGAGTGCTGCATAAGCCAATGACAAACCTGTGTGTTCCTGGCAAGTTAGACACGATTTTATGGATAACAACTTCTTTAATACTGTAAAAAAGCGACGTTTCGGTATAGATCCTTATACCGTTGTCAAGCAAGACTGAATGAGGGTACTTACTTACTTACTTTGGAGATTTAACGTGCGCTTTCCGACTGATGCGTATTTCGCACACGGGCCCGGCCAGGCCATTTAATGTGTTTCCGAAAGGGGCGAAGGTGGTCTGTGCAACCCAAGAGGGGGGTTTTAGGGGTTGCTTATATAGAATTTGGGAATTTTGAGATTTGGAATAGATGCCGATGGGATTGGGGAGGAGAACTAAGGGAGCTGGGTATGGTGGATGTTTGTTTGTTTATGTGATTTTGATTTGGTGAGTTATTGTGTTTTTAGATGCGTTTTATTAGTTCCGTTTTGATTAAGAATACGCCTAAGGCCTTGAAGTTTTCTAGTTTATTTTGTGGGTTTAGTATTGCTTCTAGAGTTAGAGCCTTGTTTAGATTGAGGGTGGTTTGTAGTGTGTGCAGTGGATGAGTGCGTGTTCTGGGGTTTCTGGTTGTTTGCAGTGTGGGCAGTTACCTGTAGTGTGTTTTTTAAATTTTTTTAGGTGGTTATTTAGGTTGGTGTGTCCTGTTTGGAGTTTAGTGATTACTTTTTGGTTTGGTTAGTGGTTTGCTGAGCACTTTTTTGATTTGGCTATTTGAGTTTAGATATAGGTTATGCCATTTTTTGGTGATTTTTTGCTTGTTTACACTTTTAATTTCTGATTTTGAGATGGGTAAGTTTAAGCTTATTTCTGGGATTTTGAGGGATAGTTTAGCTGCTTTATCGGCGTTTTCATTACCGTATATTCCTACGTGGGCGGGTATCCACAAGAAGGTTATTTGTTTGCCTGCCTTAGTTAGGTCGTTGGAGCTTTTAAGTATTTGATTTATTAATTTAGGTCGGTTTTTGGTATTTTTGTTTTGGAGGGCTTGCAGTCCACTTAGGGAGTCGGTAAGTATTAGGATTTTTTTGTGGTTTTTGGATTCTTGATTATGGAGGGCTGAGGCCATGCCCATTAGTTCTGCCGTGAATATTGATTGGTTGTTTGGGAGTCGGAAGGATTGTGTGGTTTTAGTTGGTTGTGTGGTATGGACTCCGAAACCTGTGTGTTTGGAGGTCGGATCTGAGGATCCGTCCGTGTAAATGTGACACCAATTTGGCCAATTTTCGTGTATGTATGCTAGTGTGGTAGTTTTAGCTATGTTTGGGTCGGTTTGTTTATTTATTTGGCTAGCTAGTGTTGTGTCTATTTTGGGTATTTTAAGTTTAGGGGTGAAGATATTTGATTGTTTGCAGTTTTGTTTAAGATTTTTAATTTGGTGTTCATTTAGGTAGTTTGTTATTCTTTGGGATATTGGGGTAAGTAAGGGGTGTTTACGAGCTAGAGCTTGGTTTTTGGGGCTGATGTTTTGGTTTATTAAGTTTTGGATGAGAGGGTTTGATTGGGACGCGGCCCAGAAATTTAAGCTTAGCTGTTCCCTGCGTAGACTTAGTGGCATTTCTCCTGTTAAGGCCTGAAGTGAGGTGTAGGAGGTGCCATGTTGGGTGCGTGTAATTAGTTTGAGAGCCTGATATTGTATTGAGTCAAGTTTTTTAGATAGAGAGTTGTTTAGGGTGTTGTATATGGCGCAGCCGTAGTCTAGTTTTGATCTAATTAGTGATATGTAGAGAGAGAGGAGGGTATCTTTGGATGCTCCCCAGTTAGAACCAGTTAGGCATCTTAGGGTGTTTAGGTCTTTACTGCATTTAGTTGTTAGGTTTTGGATGTGAGCATCCCAGGTGAGATGTTCATCGAAAATAAGTCCTAAGAATTTGGTTTGTTTTTGAAATTTGATTGTTTGATTGTTTAGCTGGAGGATTGGGGAGGCAGGTTTCATGTTTTTATGTTTGAATACTATTCCTGTTGTTTTTTCTGAGTTAAGGGAGAAGCCCCATTTGTCAGCCCACTGTTGTATTTTATTAAGAGATTTTTGGAGTAAATTGAATGAGGGACATAGTGCAGAATATATATAGCAAGTGGAGGATTAACAGTAGAGGATTAACAGTAACAACAAGGGCATACATGAGTGGGATAACATAGGTAGGTGTGACAACAAGGATGATGCTATCACAACACGATGGACAGAAAACACATAGCTAGAAGCCAATGGGGCATGAAGCCAATAAACAGGTGATTATTGTTTGATGAGTTCATAGTAGGCGGATGGGATGAAATAGCCTTGATCTCTGTTGATTGTTGGGTTGTGGCGGCGAATGTGGACTGCTTCTGTTAGTTTTCTTTTGGTGAAATCATGGAGGTTGTTGGCGAGGATTTGGACGTTGTCCCAGTTGATGATGTGATTGGGACAGTTGATGATATGGTCCGAGATGGCTGATTTGCTGTCGGATTTGATGGTGGAGGTTTTATGCTCTTTGATTCTAGTGTTGATTGGGCGGGATGTTTCACCTACGTAAGATTGCCCGCAGTTGCAGTCAACTTGTTGTTACTGTTAATCCTCTACTGTTAATCCTCTACTGTTAATCCTCCACTTGCTATATATATTCTGCACTATGTCCCTCATTCAGTCTTGCTTGACAACGGTATAAGGATCTATACCGAAACGTCGCTTTTTTACAGTATTAAAGAAGTTGTTATCCATAAAATTGTGTCTAACTTGTCATCCGCCAACTTCTAAGTAATGCCTATCAAACAAGTTCTCTGTGTTCCTGTTTCAGCTCCAGCCATGCCAGCAGACCGGCGTGCAGCCCTCCAGCTCGGACTGCTGCTGTTGGCAGTCCCTGCCCAATATTTTGTGTCCAAGTTTTTCTCCACCCCAGAAGCTCAACGTAGTCAAAGTGTAAAAATGTAAGTGGACATCATTATCGACACTTATTTAGAGCTTGTCTGCTTAAATGTATGTTTTTGCTCTCCTGAAAGTCAAGTGGGCTTACATCAAGCTCTGTTTGTCCAGCGTCTGCTTCCGTAAACATCTTCTTTTGAGACACATCTTGACCAATAAAGCTGAAACTTTGCATACCGTATTCGACGTAATAAGCGCCCACAGCGTTATTTGCTAATATATTGGCTAGTGAACAATCCCAGTTAGCACCCTTTCCGATTGATCAATGTACACAAGACTTATTCATTCGTGTATAATACTCACTCGTTTGTTATATGCACCCTTAATTATGGGCAGTTAAATTCTCGAAAATATATCTATTGTGTATAATACACACAGATTCTTCTGTTATATCGTTTCAGGCTGTCAACATAAATCACAAAATTTACAATCTTTCAACCCTGTTTTTAATCTCACCAAAATTATATTCTAATAAGAGCCCCCTATTTCTAATTTTGAGAGCGCCCTGGGTGCTTATTACATCGAATACGGTACTTGTTCCAACCGGCGGTGACACCTGAAAATACCTGTGAAGATCCGGGGTAGAATAGGTCTTCAGCAACCCATGCTTGCCGTAACAGGCAACGATGCTTGTTGTAAGAGCGACTAACAGGATCGGGTGGTCAGGCTCGCTGACTTGGTTGATGCATGTCATCAATCCCAATTGCGTTGATCGATGCTCATGATGTCAGTTATTGGATTGTCTGGTCCAGACTCAATTATTTACAGACCAGAGCTGGAATATTGCTGAAGGTGGTGTTAAACAACAAACAATCAAACAAACAAAACAATCAAACAAACAAAACAAGCAAACCTGGAAACTGCAGAATTGTACCTCAGTGGGCCAGCACTAACTGTACAACGAGCGTTAGTTCATACCAGTACACTCCCCATGACAGACAGACAGACATATACCCATCAGGTACAGAGCCTTGTTGCTCTATTTAATAACCTTATTAATAATATATCTTTTAAATGTGTTTTGTTTTAAACAATTACAGTAAACTACTGTTATTACGAACTCACAGGGACCACTAATTTTAGTTTGTTATAACCGCAGTTCGTTATAAGCATATATACAGCAAATTGACAGGATCAAAACAGATTTCTATATACCCATCAGTTCGTTATAAGCGTGTTTGTTATTAATGTAGCTTACAGTTTACTGTACTTCTTTTCAGATTGTTAAGTAATGCCCTTGGCTTCAAGAACAGATACTTATCCTGGAACTCATGGCAAAAATGGTGTTACGAACTTATAGGCAGTTTAAACAAGAAGAAGAATGTGTTGTTCACAGGCCAGGACAACCCACAGGGCGAGTCCCCGGCCGTGGAAGTCTTCAAGTATAGGGACCCTAAAGGCTATTTTTCTCGTAAGTATTCAGTGTTGTGAGAATGTATATTTTTAAAGTTCCTATCTCATATGATGCATCTCTCTCCCTTCTTCAATCCTGGTGTGGAAACGACTTAGAACAAAGTTTCCAACTTCAAAAAACACCTTACCCCAAAACATCCCTATTCATCATCATGGTCACTGCTTGTCCATCGGGCTCACACACCAATCAATCCCGCGTGACCCGACCTCAGCTTGCTTGACCATTTGGTATACCTTCCCCAGCCATTTACTTTCTCAGAGTGTAGAAGCTGGAGTGAGTGAGTGAGTATGGTTTTACGCTGGGGACACCAGAAATGGGCTTCACACATTGTACCCATGTCAGGAATCAAACCCGGGTCTTCAGCGTGACGAGCGAATGCTTTAACCACTAGGCTACCCGACCGCCCCCGTAGAAGCGGGAGTAACTGTGCGTGGATGGTGGGAGGCATACATTGTGTGAGACAGGATAAGTATATACCATATTTGACGTAATAAGCGCCCAGGGCACTCTCAAAATTAAAAAAAGGGGGCTTTTATTAGAATATTAATTTGGCGAAAGATAAATTTCGTCGTTTATGCTGACAGCCTGAAATGTTTTTATACGATATATATTTTTCCAAAATTTAATTGCCCATAATTAAGGGTGCATATAACACATGAGTGCGTATTATACACGAATAAATAAGTCTTGTGTACATTGATCCATCGGAAGGGGTGCTAATTGGGATTGTTCACTAGCCAATATATTAGCAAATATCGCCTGGGGCGCTCGCTTATTATGTCGAATACGGTAAATATAAAATTTATTATAAAGTTGTCAATTGTGAAGATATGATTCATTTGGAAGGGAATTAACCGATTGAGTGTGTTTAGTATAGTATTAGAACAGTGTTTTTTAGCTAACCCTGTTTTTGTCCATGTGGCCTTTTGTCTTTGATCTTTCTGTCTGTCCAATCGAACGAGACTCAGAAACTCTTCTTCCAAACTTCACAATACTTGTGTTTCAGGTAAATCATCTCATCCGTTGTTTCACTTGCAATCCAAATGTTTTCATCACAGCAGGAAACATCTGTCAACATTGTCAAGAAATCCATATTTATCGTTTCTAAAAAATAAGATGTTCCCTCATGTTGTTGCTGTAGCCAAAATACAAATTCATTACACAGTGCACCTAACATCAGTTATTTTATTATTTATTATTTTTAAAAAACTCAAATTAAAAAAGAACACTTCCTACCGACTCATACCTGTTGCAATCTCATTAAAATCAGACCTCAGTTCTCGCTGCCGCTAAACAAAGATCTGAGGACATCCCATTACGGGTCACGTCACACCGACCTTTCATCCGACCAATCAGAGCGTCACTTACCAGATCATAAAAGTGACAGTCGGAATGTGATTTCTAATGATGCAACCACAAAAACTTTAACACAGGGTATTCCGAACGATAGTTACGGGTTAAACGACTGAATCCATACAATCTAGACCATATATTTGCCATTCCAGAATGTTCTTTTGTTCAGGTTTCAAATTTTTAATCGAGAATTTGTCAAAATATGTTTTCGAAGCATAGTCGCCAATTTGAATTTAGTGCCGTAAAGCATGAGAAAGCTGCCTTTTGATTGGTTAATGTCGACTTCTTGTCAGTCTTTCCAATGGTTGGTCAAAATTCGCGCAAGGTCGGTCTGACGTGACCCGTAATGGGATGTCCTCAGATCTTTGTTTAGCGATAGCGAAAACTAAAACCTGATTTTAATGAGATTTTACCTGTTGGGTCCATGTTACCTGAAACACAACCAGTTTTCTATTTGGCCTTAGGGGCACAGCTGGCCCAGTCATCTGAGGAACTGCAGTTTGCTAGGCAGAGTTGTGTCCCTTGGGCTGCCAGAAACCAAGGATCATGGGTTTAAATCCCAGATACGAACTGATTATGTTTCTAAGCCTGTTAACACCATACCCATGTTCGTGGAAACATGCATCACCATGTGTTTGCCGCCTACATGAGGCTGAACTTTCTAAACAGCCAAGCAGCATCAAGGTTTCTAAATTCTTTGTGAGTGGGTGAATGTGCCGCTTTTAGCAATATTCCAGTAATGTCACAACGGGGGACACCAGAAATGGGCTTCACACATTGTACCAATCTCATTAAAATCAGATCTTAGTTCTCGCTACCGCTAAACAAAGATCTGAGGTCATCCCATTTGGGGTCACGTCAGAACAACCTTTCATCCAATCAGAGTGTCGCCTACCAGATCATGAAAGTCGGAATGTGATTTCTCATCATGCAGCCTCGAAAACTTTAAAATGGGGTATTCCGAACGATAGTTACGAGCTTAACGACTGAATCTATACAATCCAGATCATATATTAGCCATTCAAGAATGTTCTTTTAATCAGCAGGTTTCAAATTTTAAGCGAGAATTTGTCAAAATATGTTTCGAAGCGTAGTCGCCAATTTGATATTAGTGCTGTAAAGCATGAGAAAGCTGCCTTCTGTTTGGCTAATGCCGACTTCTTGTCAGTAATTCCATTGGCCGGTCAGAGTTTGCGAAATGTCGGTCTGACGTGACCCGTAATGGGATGTCCTCAGATCTTTGTTTATCGGTAGCGAGAATTAAGATCTGATTTTAAAGAGATTGCACATTGTACCCATGTGGGGAATCGAACCCATGCCTTGTCGTGACAAGCCACCACTTTAACCCCTAGGCTATCCCGCCGCCTCCTGAATTCTCTGTATATTTGAGGGTAGCATTGAGGCAAACACATCTGATTTCTGTACCTCGAAAACTAATATGATCGACTTCCAAATCCAAAAACATAAAGCCATACTATTACATTGTGCTGAATATTTTAGACATCTTGGCGTTTCTGAGCACCATGACGTCTTCACCTAAACATGCTAAAGAAAAGACTTCAATGGCAGTTTACTTTCACTTTGAATGAAATTTCTGAATCAAGATGAAGAAAAATGAAGCGAAATCTTTTCAGAAAGGTGATGTCTGATTCCATCAAGACCCCAGTCATCCTTCTTTTAGACTGGATGGGGCTCAGGGTTCACCTTTGGACAGAGTGGTCGGGTACCTTAGTGGTTAAAGCGTTCGCTCGTCAAGACCCGGGTTCGATTCCCGACATGGGTACAATGTGTGAAGCACATTTCTGGTGTCCCCCAGCCGTGATATTGCTGGAATATTGCCAAAAGCGGCGTAAAACCGTACTCACTCACTCACTCACCTTTGGACAAAATGGTAAAGGACAAAATGGCTACTGTCAAACTCCTTGCCGAGTATATCATAAGATAGATATCGATAAGAATAAGTAGTTGACATCCCCCAGTCACCAGCTTGTTACTGGCAGAGAATGGGGGTAAAGAAGTGTACAGACGATTTGCAATGACTCTAGCCAGGTTCTCCCGCATCTGCAACAGAATGGAGACCCTTCTGAAGGATAGCGCGCCCAGGATAGATTAATGGGAGATCTGGCGGAGTGGAATAGGAACTATTTAGAAGCATTGACGTTGATTGGCTGGTTAGTAAGTTCACCTCATGCTACCTACTACATGTTCAATGGCGGTCAAGTAGTTAAAGTGTTCGCTCCTCACACGCAACACCTGGGTTAGATTCCTCACATGGGTGTGAAGCAGGTGTCCCCTGCTGTGATATTGCTGGAATATTCCTGGAATATTGTTAAAAGCGGCGTAAAACCATACTCATGAATGAATGAATGTGACCCTCTTCATGATCTATGGAGGTAACCTGCATGTTCTATGGAGCTGACCTGCATGTGCTATGGAGGCATCCTCAGACCTTTCTCCAGATCTGTATGGAATCAGAGTAAGAGATCTGATTTTGATAAAATTGGGTTCATATGTCACGGTTATGTGTGTTTTGATACTTCAGAATCTACCGAGCCAAGGAGTCCGCGGCCTGCCAATGTCAAGTACAGAGTGGGACAGGTTATACGACACAAGATCTGGGGCTACAGGGGTATAATAGTAGGCTGGGACCATCAAGCTCGGGTCAGTATATCAGAGTGTGGCGCCATTACTTTTAATTGGCACTCTCTATAATTATTGGGCAAGGTGGGTTAGCCTAGTTTTTAAAGTGTTCACTCCGAGATTTTCGAGGTCATTATTTGACCTATGATGATTTTCTTAAGAGCTGCTCCTTTTTAGATTTTCTCTTGAACTTCGACTAGTGCAAGACAGAAAAAAGGCTTGTTGTCAACCATTTGAAAATGTCTAATAATTTTCGTGCCATTATTACAAGGTTTTATTCAACTTTAAAATTTAACATTTTTAAAGTGAAAAAAGCGCCATTATGTGACCGTGTTCTTGCTGTTTTAAAAGGTTCATAATATGACCAGCGATGTAAGTGTAAGGACCAGCGATGTAAGTGTAAGGACCAGCGTGCCGTTGTACAAAACAACCTTAGCGCTACGACTGTCGTAAGTCTATGTTAAGGTATGGGAGTTGCGATCACCTTACCGCTAAGATCGCTTTGTACAAAGGCACCCAGCGATGTAAGTGTAAGGACCTGTGATGTAAGTGTAAGGACCAGCGATGTAAGTGTAAGGACCTGTAATGTAAGTGTAAGGACCAGTGATGTAAGTGTAAGGACCAGCGATGTAAGTGTAAGGACCTGTGATGTAAGTGTAAGGACCAGCGATGTAAGTGTAAGGACCTGTGATGTAAGTATAAGGACCAGAGTAAGGACTAGCGATGTAAGTGTAAGGACCTGTGATGTAAGTGTAAGGACCAGCGATGTAAGTGTAAGGACCAGCGATGTAAGTGTAAGGACCTGCGATGTAAGTATAAGGACCAGAGTAAGGACTAGCGATGTAAGTGTAAGGACCTGTGATGTAAGTGTAAGGACCAGCGATGTAAGTGTAAGGACCAGAGTAAGGACCAGCGATGTAAGTGTAAGGACCTGTGATGTAAGTGTAAGGACCTGTGATGTAAGTGTAAGGACCAGCGATGTAAGTGTAAGGACCAGCGATGTAAGTGTAAGGACCAGCGATGTAAGTATAAGGACCAGAGTAAGGACTAGCGATGTAAGTGTAAGGACCTGTGATGTAAGTGTAAGGACCAGCGATGTAAGTGTAAGGACCAGAGTAAGGACCAGCGATGTAAGTGTAAGGACCAGCGATGTAAGTGTAAGGACCTGTGATGTAAGTGTAAGGACCAGCGATGTAAGTGTAAGGACCAGAGTAAGGACCAGCGATGTAAGTGTAAGGACCTGTGATGTAAGTGTAAGGACCTGTGATGTAAGTGTAAGGACCAGCGATGTAAGTGTAAGGACCAGCGATGTAAGTGTAAGGACCTGTGATGTAAGTGTAAGGACCAGCGATGTAAGTGTAAGGACCAGAGTAAGGACCAGCGATGTAAGTGTAAGGACCAGCGATGTAAGTGTAAGGACCTGTGATGTAAGTGTAAGGACCAGCGATGTAAGTGTAAGGACCAGAGTAAGGACCAGCGATGTAAGTGTAAGGACCTGTGATGTAAGTGTAAGGACCTGTGATGTAAGTGTAAGGACCAGCGATGTAAGTGTAAGGACCTGTGATGTAAGTGTAAGGACCAGCGATGTAAGTGTAAGGACCAGAGTAAGGACCAGCGATGTAAGTGTAAGGACCAGCGATGTAAGTGTAAGGACCTGTGATGTAAGTGTAAGGACCTGTGATGTAAGTGTTAGGACCAGCGATGTAAGTGTTAGGACCTGTGATGTAAGTGTAAGGACCAGCGATGTAAGTGTAAGGACCAGTGTAAGGACCTGTGATGTAAGTGTAAGGACCTGTGATGTAAATGTAAGGACCTGTGATGTAAGTGTAAGGACCTGTGATGTAAGTGTAAGGATCTGTGATGTAAGTGTAAGGATCTGTGATGTAAGTGTAAGGACCTGTGATGTAAGTGTAAGGACCAGCGATGTAAGTGTAAGGACCAGCGATGTAAGTGTAAGGACCAGTGATGTAAGTGTAAGGACCAGCGATGTAAGTGTAAGGACCAGCGATGTAAGTGTAAGGACCAGTGATGAAAGTGTAAGGACCTGTGATGTAAGTGTAAGGATATTAATTATATTGCTGATGTCTTGAACATGTCTATGTTTTCAGGCTCCAGAGAGTTGGATAAAGCAGATGCATGGGAAGGGGAAAGGGGTGAGTGATGCATGGCAGTATGTTATCCCAAGTGTCCACCTGTTGTGGTACCCAACTACTTGAACTGTCACCTTTCACCAATCTACTGTGAACTTACACCTGAAGATACAACACACAGCACAAGGTTGTGCAGGTTTCAGACGTTTACCACTTCGTTGAAACCCATGAGCACGGGTATGGTGCTGGCAAACCTAGAAATATAAGCAGGATTTGAACCCACAATCATAGGTTTCGCAACGAGTTGGTGGTGCACATGCTTTGCAAATCCTTCAATCGACCGAAATCTGCACGGCAGTTTACGGACCGGATTTTCATTGCGTTGTGCAGCCAAGTCCAGCCAAAATGTAACTCCATAATACCATCCTCGTTCGGCAAGGGTGGAAACTGGACTTTTATAGTCAGTTAACTCTCTTGCCCCGGGAAGATGGTGGAGAGGAAGTGAACATGGATTGGAAGACCTGTGACAGCATCATCAAAATTCATTCCTGTGGATGGGAGGGGGATTAGGTTTGGGGGTTCTGCTGATACTCATGCTGATATCTCACTCCCCCATGAAAATCAGGATTAGAATCGATTTCATGCTTGTCGTCTGAGGTGACAAATGGGATTGGGTGGTCAGGTTCTCTGACTAGGTAGATGCATGTCATCACATCCCAGTTGCGTAGATAGATGCTCATAATGTCAGTCACTGGATTGTGTGATGGATTGTTTACAGACAAAATGACCCCTCAGTCTATGTGGCTTGCACACCAGCTTTGAAGACTGGTTGTAACAGAATGATAAATTGTCTACCAGAAAAGGTGAAATGAAAATGTTATTCGTTTTTAATATGATTTTTGTACAGTCCAAAGCCCAAGGGTTAACCGAGAAATGTTTGAACAGAAACAAAATTTAAATGATGATACAAGATCAATAAATAAATGATTATGTTGAAACACACAGCTTAAGCATGTTTAGGTTTACAATCATGAAAGACAACACAAGTAAGAGGCAGTGACTTTGTTGGAAATGTGCCTCTGTTCACCAAGCAGTGAATGGGTACCCGGTAGGATGAGATGGTATTGTTGTTAACCTTCTAGCGCCTCACAGGCAGCTTGGGTTGTATACTCCCCAGGGAGCTGAGAATGATTCTTGAGTGCACACTGATCCAGTGTCTGCAGTAACAATAGCGCTTTGAGCATGCATCTGAGTGGTGTGGAAATATGCAAATATTAATAGCCTATTATTATTATTATTATTATTATTATCATCATCATCATCATTATTAAGTAACAGGCCACACAATATATGTCAGTGCACTAACGAATCCAGAATTTTTAGTTTCAGTTTCATCTTGTGGTTTCTGCCCTCAGACATAACGTAAGAGATAAATAACTTGCTCTTTAAGTTTTAAGGCAATACTAACTATGAGATGTTTTTTTCTCCAGCACTATCGGACTCAGCCAAACTACTCCATTCTGGTCGACACTCGCGACCGTATTTCACCCCAGACCACATATGTCCCTCAGGAAAACTTAGAAGTTATTGTACATATGCAGGTGAGATCTACAGACTTGCTAGACGTGTTAGATGAGGGGCATTTCAGATTTCCTCTGGGGGCAATGGGGTAACCTAGTTGTTAAACAGTTCGCTTGTCACTCCGAAAACTTGGGTTCAATTCCCCAAATGGGTATAATGTGTGAAGCCCATTTCTGGTTTCCCCCGCCGTGATATTGCTGGAATATTGCTAAAAGCGGCGTAAAACCATACTCACTCACTGGTGTAACCCGCCATGATATTGCTGGAATAATGCTAAATTTGAAGTCAAACCATACTCACTCATTCATATTACCTCTCCGACTGAATCAGATATTGATGCATTGCGATTACGGTATCTGCTGGCCGATGTTTCGATGTGTAACAATGAGAAAAGTCCCTATAATCACCAGCCCTAGGTAATATCTTACTTCTCTGTTTAACAGAAGATATTCATTAGTTTCCATTAGGGCGAGGACGATACACCAACTGTGATCCAATTCGTATCATGATACTTTGTACACGATCCGATACGTATCACAATACTTGCATCTGTGGTGCGTAAGCCATCGTTTTCATGTTGTTTTTCGTAGACAGGATAGTCAAATACCTGTCACACAGACGTTTTGCAGTTGGCAGTGTCAAATATAGCGCAATGGATGAAAATATTTACTTTTTCACTACTAATTAGAGTTTGGTGTAACAGCCATGAATCGATATGTTTTACTTAGTGTGCAACTGTGATCGATAATTGAATTGGTAACTAAAATATCGATGCATCAGTGTATCGTCCCACCTCTAGATTCCATGTGGACCACACAATGATAACAGTTACTTCTCTAGGTCTCCCTCAAACTCCCTAAGATATCTACCAACTGAGGACTTGATAGGCTTGACACTATATAAGGATACTTCCAGGATTCTCAGAGTCCTATCATAAAACTATTGTAATGGTATTATAACTACTGCAACAGTGTCATAATAGTGTTTTTTAACTATCGTGACACTATTGCGATAGTTAAAATGCACCAAATAATCATCCCTTCTGTACATGATCCCAAGGGAGCTGAGAATGTAATTTGAGTGAGTGAGTGAGTTTGATTTTACGCCGCTTTTAGCAATATTCCAGCAATATCACAGCGGGGGACACCAGAAATGGGCTTCACACATTGTACCCATGTCGGGAATCGAACCCGGGTTTTCAGCGTGACGAGCGAACGCTTTAACCACCAGGCTACCCGACCGCCCCGAATGTAATTTGAGTGCTTACTGATCCATTACTGGTGATATATGTGTTGCACTAAGAGCTTACAATGGGGCATGGATACACTCCAACCCATGAAGATCCGGGGTAGAATAGGTCTTCAGCAACCCATGCTTGTCGTAAAAGGCGACTAACAGAATCGGGTTGTCAGGCTCGCTGACTTGGTTGATGCATGTTGTTGTATCCCAATTGCGAGGATTGATGCTCATGTTATCAATCACTGGATTGTCTGTTCCGGACTCGATTATTTACAGACCGCCGTCATATAGCTGGAATATTGCTGAGTGTGGCATAAACAAGAAACAAACAAACCAACAGTGGATACACTGCATTACAAATACATGCATCTATCATATAATGGGAAAGTTTCTCAGCAGGAAAAATCATCAGATAAAAGCAGGGCTAAATACAGTGTGTAGGCCTATTAATAAATATTCACCATCCCAAAACATACTCATGTGATAACCTCTATTTATCATATTTATTCATTTGAATTTTTATTACATATTCAATTCAAATAAAATTAAGGAGCTCCCGATTCTTCATATTACCATAGTTAGTCTGTCATAGTGTGACAGGATGTCACAGTGAGAGATTAACTATAGTAATATGAAAGAATCAGTGGTCCGTAACTTTTTTTTTAGTGGTATGTATTTCAGGTACCGTAATTTCTTGAGTATAGTGCACACTTTTTCAAAAAAAACACTGCTCTGTAGAAGGGGTTATACACGCATTATACACACAATAATGAGTTTTAGTAGAACAAAAAAAAATTCTTTATCTCAAATTTAAAGTTTGTACTAACCAAGGTTAATTCTTATCACCCGTTTGTTTACCAGAATTCTCTGAAGGGGTACGGTGTATTATACTTGGGTACGCACTCTAATCAAGAAAATACTGTATCTAAAATTCTAATATTCTTCTCACTCTCCTTTTCAGGTAATCCATCCAGATATAGACAACTACTTTGAGAACTTTGATGGAGCCCAATATATTGCAAGGCCCTTCCTAAAGGCCATCTATCCCAATGACTAGCTCCTGCTGCCAAACAACCTAAAGTCTCCCAGTGTAACAAGAATGCAAGTTTAATTTCCTGGACTGTAGAAATGTTATTTATGTTTCAACGGGTTGGTACCTTGTAGTATGCAACAGATTTCGAGTATGTCCTGGATTGACATGCTGTAGACACAAGCATTACTTACTGTTGAGATGTGTGGGAGTGAAATAACCTTGGGCGAAGAATTTTGCCGAAACTAGGTCTGTTTGTGAATACAGTAGAACATGGGTATTACGAACCACAAGGGACCAGAGAAATCAGTTCATAATATACGTTGTTCGTTATATACATTTTCGCTCGGAAACGTCCGCCATCTTGGATAAAACAAAACACAATATACGTAATTGCAGCATCGACTTGTATTACCAATGATCACTTCATAGCATTCAGTTAATAACATTTCATAATATTTTCTTAACATTAAATTCATAACATTTTAAAAACCTTGTTTATCAGATATGTATTCAGCATTACACGATTTATATATGGGGAGATGTGTAGTCGGTAATTTTGCTCGGTTTGCTGACTGCATTCGTGAAACTGCAAAGGTTTAATGTTTGTTTTTACAGACAAGATTAGTCCAATTACATGTACAGGGTAAGATTAACATTAAGCAAGTTTAACAAGGTTGAATCGTCACTGCTTATTTTGTTGATTCGCCACGATTGTGTTAATTCGCCGCTGATTGTGTGTAGTCAGTTGTCAGTGACACTTGACACTGAGTTAGATTTCTAAGTTCGCTATACATGTCACTAATAAGTGGTATTTGGTCTTGTCGAGGATCCGATATCAGTTCGCTGTATACATAAGTTCGCTGTAGAGAGTTCGTTATGTACGTAAATTTTGTTTGATAATATATAGGAGAAAAAGAAGGGATTTTGTAACAGTTTGTTGTATCTGTTCAGAGTTCACCCTATCCGTGTTTTTATATCCATGTTCTGCTGTATGTCAATATTAGCTGTATGTTGTTCATATTGAGATGATGCTGATGTGTTGTTGTAGGGGTACAGAAGCTGATTGGGTCACCTGCTTTGCCATTAAAATGTACCCTGGTACAAAATTATGTATTGGGTTGTACCCAGCTTTTCGTTGTATCGTTTTGTACCCAGACCTTATCTATGTGTCCCTCAATTTTGGATAGCCTGTGTCATAAATGTATCCTTGATCAGTTTACGGCATTCAACAACATGGCTGCTACCCTCTCACCAAAATTGCCCAAGAAAATTCTGTGTATTTAAACATAGTTTCACAACGTTTTCATAGGATAAGTTATTGTGATTTTATGCACAGGAGACAATATACACTGTGGCACATGTCTACTGGTTTATTTATTATCAGTTATTTCTAAAAAATGTCTACAGCAAGATAAAATAATATGATATATATTACCTTGCTGCTATACAAGAGTGAGTGAGTGAGTGAGTTGGGTTTAACGCCGCTTTTAACAGTATTCCAGTTATATCGCGGCGTGTCAGCTTAATGTGGGAGGAAAGCCCCAAGTGATGCAGGTCTCTGACGTTTACCACTTCGGTGAAACCCACGAGCACGGGTATGGTGCTGACAAACCTAGAAACATAATCGGGACGAACCGGGATTCGAACCCACAATCATAGGTTTCTGGCGTGCCCAAGGGACGCAACTCTGCACAGCGAATCGCGGCGCCTTAGACGACTGGGCCACCCATGCCCCCGCTGCTATACCAGAACAAAACTACACTTAGATATGGTCTTGGTACAAAAGGATTTGGCAACGAAAATCTTGGTACATCGCGATGTATCATTTTGTACCCAGGCTCCATTACAGAGTGATCAAGGACCCTATTAGCTGTAGTACAGGGCTGTACCCCAATTAACTGTACAGATATGTACCCATGTTGATACAGAAATGTACCCTCGCTGACCTATGCATTGCACAGAAGTGACTGGGCGAGTCAAATAAACATCTTAAACAGGATGCAAAAGCAGTTTTGGTTTCTTTGTAACATGGTAAAGTGTCACATTTTGAGAGAATAGATTGGTGTTAGAATATGTCGACCATGGTGTCAATATGTATGATATGAACTTGAAATTATCAGAACATAATTCTTCGACTCCAGCTTTCATTGATTTACCTGTGGCTTGGCATAATGGAAGTCTGAAGAACTGTTCAATCTCATTAAAATCAGATCTTAGTTTTCGCTACCGCTAAACAAAGATCTGAGGACATCCCATTACGGGTCACGTCAGAACAACCTCTCGCGAACTTTGACCGATCAGTGAAATGACTGACAAGAAATCGACATTAGCCAATCAGAAGGCAGCTTGCTCGAGCTTTTCGACAATAGTTTCAAACTGGCGTCTATGCTTCGAAACATATTTTGACGTATTCTCGGTTAAAAAAATTTAAAACTGACAAAAAGAACATTCTGGAATGGCTTACAGGTGGCCTAGATCGTATGGATATAATCATAAAACCCGTAACTGTCGTTCGGAATACCCTCTGTTAAATATTTCGAGGTTGCATGATCAGAAAACACATTCCGTCTGTCACTTTCATGATCTGGTAAGCGACGCTCTGATTGGTTGGATGAAAGGTCATTCTGACGTGACCCATAATGGGATGTCCTCAGATCTTTGTTTAGCGATAGCGAGAACTAAGATCTGATTTGAATGAGATTGAGGAACTGTTTTCGTTCACCATTAAATTAATCTCATTAAAATCAGATCCCTGTGCATGCTGCTACACTTAGATCTGAGGACATCCCATTACAGGTCACGTCAGACCGACTTTTCATCCAACCAATCAAAGCATCAGGTACGAGATCGCCATGTGTAAGTCTAAAGGTTATTCTCTAATTATGCACTCATAAAGGTTAACAAGGGGTGTTCCGAACAACAGTTATGGGCAGTTCGACTGATTCCGTCAAAATCATCATCTATCTCTCGCTTCAAAGGGATAAATAAGACTTTCCATTGACCATGGGAACCACTGCCATACAGTGTCAGTCCTCTATTAGGCATTCCAGGATTTCCTTTTGTTAAGTTTTCAAATTTGTATCAAGAACTTTGTAGAAATATTTTTCAGGTGTAGTCTGGAGTGGAAGTCACCAGTTTGAAACTGGTGCCGTAAGACTTGAGAAAGCTGCTTTCGGATTGGCCAATGCCGACTTTCTTTCAGTCATTTCATTGGTCAGTCAAAAGTTCATGAAAAATTGTCCTGACGTGTATTGTAATGGGATGTCCTCAGATCTTTGTGTGGTGGAAGTGAGCACTAAGATCTGATTTTAACTAGATTGCCCTTAAATGAAACCGTCAAGTGGCTCCAGTGCTATTCAGTGGCTAGCTTTGGATATATTTCTGTATTATTTTTTTAATTCAAACTTGCTGGGGTAGCTTCCTGGAGTACCCGATGCAACAAGGGCCCCTTCAGCAAAACTGATGGAGTGAAAGTTGGTTGTATCTCAATGGCTGCTGGTGCTGCTGCAGTTTACTGCATGCATTGTGTTATTGATGATGTTTCCAGAGTAGGATGGTGTCCTTGTTCTTCTGTTCTCGATTCTTTATTTGTCTCCAAAGTTGGGAGTGGGTGCTTTTGCATGGGTGTTTCTAGAGTTTCAAATCAATTGAATTTGCAGGGATTCATCTAGGGTTTCAAACTAAGTGCCCTTGCAGGGATTTATCTAGGGTTTCAAACTATGCGCCCTTACAGGTATTTATCTAGGGTCTCAAACTAAGTGCTCTTGCATGGTGTATGTAGGGTTTCAATCTAAGCGCCCTTGCAGCGATTTATGTAGGGTTTCAAACTATGCGCCCTTACAGGTATTTATCTAGGGTCTCAAACTAAGTGCTCTTGCATGGTGTATTTAGGGTTTCAAACTAAGCGCCCTTACAGGTATTTATCTAGGGTCTCAAACTAAGTGCTCTTGCATGGTGTATGTAGGGTTTCTAACTAAGTGCCTTTGAGGGATTTATCTAGGGTCTCAAACTAAGTGCTCTTGCATGGTGTATGTAGGGTTTCTAACTAAGCGCCCTTACAGGTATTTATCTAGGGTTTCTAAACTTTTTGATGGTGGCCTGTAAATAATCGAGTCTGGACTAAACAGTCCAATGATTGATGTTACGAGCGACAGTCTACACAGTCATGCTGTGTTAACACGTCATTCACCAAGTCATCGCCAAGCCTCAACAGACCACTCAATCAATTACATGACATCTTACGACAAGCACAGGACCACTTCTCAACCAGAATCCAGATAGGTTCCCAATTTTGTCTCCTCCTAAATCTAGCAGTGGGTTGCTGTGGACACATCCCAGGGCTAGAGCATTATGAAGTGATATTACACCAGTCAATGACAAGTACTACCATAGCTGAGGAAGCTATTTGCAACAAAATACCATAGTCCCTACTGTTTTGGCTGAAGGTATTGGGTATGAAGTTTATTACATACTCCCTAGGGAGTTGAGAATGATAACTGGAATGTGAACTAATCCACTGGTCGGGGTGCAAATAAAACCGCATTTGAGCAGATACTAGTACCTGGATACATGCGGTATATAAATGTATGATAATATGATAATCCTCAAGTTGTTGGATACACGATCATGATAATACTTAGCTACTTAACAACATGGAAGATTAGATTGAAGAGGATTGATTTATACTTTGAATACTACTGCATGGATTCTTTTCAAATTTAAGGAAAATTTTTATACTGATAGGAAAGGTGCAGTACAAAGTTTGAATATGATATGTGTATTTTTTGGAAAAATGTTAATTTTTTTAATTTTTTAACTTTGATTTTATTTTTTGACTTCAACATTTGTGTGACCTTTAACTTGAAAACTACTTCATGGATTTTTTTCCAATTGGGGGGAACAGTTTCTATTCCAATAGGAGAGATGAAGTGCAAAGTTTGATTTCAGGATTTTGATTTTCTGAAAAAATACAGCTATTTTACTTATTTTTTACTTATATTTGGTTTTACTTTAACATTTGTCTGAACTATGACTTGAAAACAATTACATGGATTCTTTTCCAATTGAGGGTACAGTTTCTATACCAGTGGGAGAAGTGCAGTGTAAAGTTTGATTGCAGTAAGTGGCTTTTCTGAGAAAATATTGCTTTTTCATGTCAAGTGTACCTACCTTGCAAAACTTGTGCATCTCTGCATCATGCCCTTATTACTTTATATTATTATGCTTTATAAGAGAGTCCAGATCAAAAGTTTAGATATCAATATATCTCGAATATGTAAAATATTCTTCAGATGATGGAGTCGAGGTCAGGAGCATTTAGTGAGCCCAGTTCACTTTTTGTTTTCTTCATATTTCTGTTTCTTTGCATGCTTTGTGTTTCCAACTGGGTTGGTATGACATATTTGTAAGTGTCAGCAGTTATATTTCCAACTAGAAATAAACAAGGTAATTAAAAAATAAGTGTCACAGACACTCCATGTAGAATCCAAAAGGGTGCTAAAGACACTTGTAACAGGTTTACATGGACATGCTTTAATGACTGACCGCCTCCGTGGTCAACCTCTGCCCATAGAGATAAAGGTTGCTTTCATCCCTGGCCGCATCAATCAAAAAGACATTAAGAGACACACTCATGCATATATGCATGCAGGTCTCCCATAAATGTACTGTAATCATGAACATGACGTTAATGCCCATCTCACCTCAGGAAGTTTTTCTTGATGGTGTCCCCATTTTTGTACATCTGGACATCTACGCTTGTAGGAGGCAACTAACGGGAACAGGTGGTCAGACTTGCTGACTTGGTTCATGCATGTCATCATATCCCAACTGCGTGGATTGACGCTCATGATGTCAATCACTGGATTGTCTGGTCCAGACTCGATTATTTACAGACCGCCGTCATATAGCTGGAATATTGCTGAGTGCGGCGTTAAACAACAAACAAACAAACAACTGGACATCATGATTAGTGTGACACTTAATCATTTATTCAGTGTCATCAGACATAATTTGGATGAAATCTGAACCTAGTTAAGCAGCTATACAGAGTGGTGTGTGGATGACTTGACTGCCAGTAGGTCTCAGTTTTTTGTGCCTCGTCTCTGTGTAAAATATGTGTGAAAGATAAATATTAGTTAATATATGAACTAGAAATGCTGTGAAGGTTTTCCTTACATGTGGATATTATGTGCCTGTTATATTTATTTCCAAATGCTGTATTAAACTAGTTGTATGACAACTGTGGAATATGCCATCAAGATTACATGGCGGTGCTTAAAATAATCATGCAATCTCATTAAAATCTTAGTTCTCGCTGCCGCTAAACAAAGATCTGAGGACATCCCATTACGGGTCACATCAGACCGACCTTTCGCAAACTCTGACTGACCAATGGAATTACTGACAAGAAGTTCATATCAGCCAATCAGAAGGCAGCTTTTTCGTGCTTTACAGCACTAATTTCAAATTGGCGACTACGCTTCGAAACATATTTTGACAAATTCTCGCTAAATTTGAAACCTGAACAAAAGAACATTCTTGAATGGCTAATATATAGTCTAGATTGAATAGATTCAGTCGTTAAGCCCTTAACTATCGTTCGGAATATCTTGTTATAAAGTTTTTCGGGGCTGCATGATTAGAAATCACATTCCGACTGTCACTTTCATGATCTGGTAAGCGACGCTCTGATTGGTCGGATGAAGGGTCGTTCTGACGTGAACCCTAATGGGATGTCTTCAGATCTTTGTTTTGAGGTAGTGAGAACTAAGATCTGATTTTAATGAGATTGATAATCATGTAATATTTGTTTTGGGTTGTTGTTTTCATCTTTTATTGTGTATATATTTTTGACAGAGTTGTCGGTTTATTTTTTTAAGTTGTATTTTGTGCTATTGTTTGATTTTTTGAAAAGTAAATGACTTGTTTCTATTTGATTTTATCAGCAAATTAATGTTTTCCAGATAATGGCGTTTGTGGGAATAATTGTTACTTATT